TACAAAGTCATGTTCTAAGAATTTCTTGAAATCTTCCGAAAGGCCTTGGAGAATTGGTGGCGTTTTTTTTTTTGCAAGGTTACAATATTGCAACCCCTCGATAAATTGCTGTGAGCATTCCGTAAAAAATCCAGGGAAAAAGCGAATATTGCAAATTCTGCAACCGATACAGAAAATTCAGAGAATATGACGGTCTACAGTGCAAATACCGTACCTCTACAGTAAGACAACACCCTACAGTATGATTAGATACTCGGATTTAGCTCGTTTAAATACTTTTATCTGATAATATTGGTCGCACCTTAGAAGATTAACTTTCTGAGAATCTTTCTCATTTTTGCCTACATTATACGCAAAATGGAAGACGGAGCCGAAAGGAGAGCGAGAGAAGGAAAAAACAGAAGTGTTTTTCCCCCACTTTTTCCAACAACACTCGATAAGCGTTACAACAGCTTGGTCAATTGTGTACAGAGCATGTTCTAAGGTATGAGCAGAAACAGACTCAAAGGTTCAAATTCAGAAAAACTGATTTCTTATGTGTTGGCAAGAAGTGTCCTATCTTTTCAAAATCTATCATCTCTTTACTGTTAATTTTTTTACTAAAACCCTCCTCTAATTTCTTTTCGCGCTGATAAGTTATACAGAAATGCCAATGCGCAACCTCTGAAAGCTGCCCTTTAGTCACTAAACCTACCCCTAATATGATATTTAAGGCAATATAATCATCGACTTCAAGAAAAGACACGTGGGCAATACTAAAATTTGCATGCTAACAGGGCAGGAAGATTCACTCATTTGGCCCTAACTCGTAGAGTTTTTGGGTGAGCATAGCCATATTCGTTGGCGTCATTTTGTCCTGCTGGACCAGTCGGGTAAGCCTAGCTACACAATGGGCTCTGATACGCTTCTTCTTCATCTCTGCACCACATGTCTCCACAAATCTCGTCTAAAAAGGGAAAGTGGAGATTAATTGAGACGTAAATTGAAGAAAACTTCCAAAATATTCAAGCTCACATAAAAATCAAGCGTAAGCTTAGTTCCCACAATCAAATGTCGGAATTTTGCGCGAAACTTGTTATGGAGTATCATGAACTCTTTCTCCTGCGGCGTATCGTCAAT